AAAACACTCCGTTAATCACTATTCCGTATTCGATGTTGAAAGCGTCGGTAGTCCAGCGGTTCAATCGTACGCTCAAAAGCGACATGTGGAAGATGTTTACACTCAACAGCAATTACAAGTGGATCGACGAGCTGCCGCGCCTCGTATCAGATTACAACGCGCGCAATCGCACTATCGGCATGCGACCCGCCAACGTAACTCCCGCGATCGCCGAAAGATTCTTGGACACGGTGTACAGCGTGATAAAAATCGCTGGTCCAGCAAAATTCAAAGTGGGCGATTCGGTACGCGTGAGCAAGTACAAGACGATTTTTGAGAAGGGTTACACGTCAAATTGGACCATCGAGGTGTTTACGATCGTTAAGGTACAGCGTACCAATCCTGTAACCTATCTACTCGAAGACTATCGCGGAAAATCCGTCGCTGGTGCGTTCTATGAGCACGAGTTGCATCGCGCTACTCATCCGGACGTGTATCTCGTGGAGAAAGTACTGCGCAGGAAGGGAGACAAGGTGTACGTCAAGTGGCTGGGATTCGATAGATCGCACAATTCATGGATACACAAAAATAATTGGATACACAAATCATTTGATAAAATTTTTTCGTGTATTTTTTTCTACATATAAAAATATATCAATATAAGTATATAAAATATATCAATATAAATGTTTTTTATTACTTCTCATTCATCATCATCTTCGATTTGGAGTATACAAAAAATGAGACACATAAAGTAAGTAAGTAAAGTAAATTAGAATACTAGTATATAATACATATATAAATGTTAAAAACATGTGATATGTATTATATGAAAGTACAATAATCGTAATACATAAAAAAAAATAATACTTGTATAAATGTAAAAAAAGATAATACTTGTATTTATGTAAAAAAAAGTGTAAAATACAATAGTAATACATAATAGCATAATACATATTATATAATATACACAATACATACATTGTATTACAAAGGTATCCGCCAATGTCCCCATGGTAACGTCTCCGTCGCGTCCG